GTTCGCTGTTCAAGCCCAAGTGCCATTTTCTCGACATCATGTTCTCGCTCACAGTCGCTCTTGTCTCAATAGATTTTGGTTTTTCAAGTACTTTTTTTTTTTGTTGTTGTTGTTGTCAAAGTCGTTTTTGACGAGTTTTACGTGAGTCCGTGTGGACTCTTGTCATTTTGTTTGGTGGATTTTCAGTGACCAATTTGACTTTGCCGGTTGCAAGCGCTTTTTGTTCTCGATTGGTTTTCCTGGCTTTGGGTCGCCGGCGAGTTCCGTTTCCATTTGGTCGTGCATTCGCTTTTCCTTGAGAAAAAAAAAAAATTGTATCGCCATTTATCTGAGTCTGCATTTTTTGGGATCCACGACCCACCTGGTCTTTGTTTGGAACCGTGTCAGCAGAATCACTTGGAAAGTGAAAGTGCAAACTTGTAAACACTGGAGGCCCCGGTAGAGATTAGCTGGTCTTAAAATACTTGCCACAAACGACACTGAAGGCTGTTCTTGACCGAAAGAATGTTTTCGCTTTACTCCACAGCAGCTTCAGCAAGAGACACCGGATGCTCATCTTAATGACTTACAGTGCTCTTCTACTTATTGATCTGATCTGAAACACACACCAATCGTCAAGTCACCTTAAAGTTTCGGGTCTTTCCCACACAGTTTCCTTTAGTACTTTCCATCCCGTGACAGACTTATGAAACAAACCATGTGGAGTGGTGTCAGTTGTCCAGACTGTGGCCAGAGGGCAATTTGTGGCCCGCTGTTTGTTTTGAAGTGGCCCGAGGCATATATTAAAATTGACACTGGCTTCTAACAAATGTGTTTTATATACGAAATATCTTTGCTCAATAAGCAAAGATGTAGATGAACTATGTACAACTTAACTAGCAACATTTCTAGTCATAACACTGTAGTGGTAAAAGATAATAGATTTTTTTTTGTTTTCCCCAAGTAAAAAATTTTTCATCGACTTTCTGCTTCTGTGTCAGGGTTAAATTTGGGACCATATCACATGAATGACTCCCAAGTAATTGCTGAAAAAACAAAATTCTCATTTTACAACAGACTGCGCCTGTTTTGGTTTTGATTGTAGAGATGGGATTCGGCTGCCGTTCAGTGTCGGTTTTGGATCCCCAAATCTTGTAAAATCCTAAAGTATTTGTCTTAGAGAAGGCTGTTCAGGGAACAGTTTTTCGGGGGGGGGGGGGACACTGTAATACTCGATTGACTGATTTTGTCATGCTTGCTAAGTTAAGGCCTTGCATCCTTCGATTTTTTTTCTGTATGTGGCCCTTGGAGCAAAAAGTGTGGACATGCCTGTATTAGAAGTTCTCACTAATTCAGTAATACAAGTTCAGAATCCCCAAAATAGAATTATGGATGTACTGGATTTCTGTCTGAAGCAGTTCTTCAACAAGTTTCTCCTTATCCTACATTTTGTGTATCTTTGCTTTAGCCCACAAACTCCCCTTTTCCCTTTCCGGGATGACGTGCAGCAGATGAGTACCTTCTTCGTCTGAGCTCCGAGGAAGAATTTGCCGGATGAGCGAGCACGTCTCTACTTCATAGGAAATGTTGTTGCATTTCATTAGGGCCAAGATTCATCACAGCAAGCAAACAAGAGGAGCGTGCAAATCACACCGGAGGAATTCCTGCGCCGTCCTCGACGCGTTTCTCGCAGCTCACGCAGGGAAAGGCGTAAAGCAGACAAAAGGCGGCGAGAGCTGATTCTGGAGACAACGGGGGTACATCAAGGACGCGGGTGAAATGCGATTGCTTATTATTGTGCTCTTCAAAATGATACATGAGTGTGTCACTCGGCTGGCAGCAGTTAAACAGCCAGAGATTTTTTTTTTTCCCGACCCTCCCTCACAGAACAATAGAGCTGTTCCTGGAAACGAGGGGTCGCGAGTCTGTTCTGCTTATCGGGGGGGGGGGAACTGATTCTCTTGAGTGAAAGGACACTTGAGAGTCTGTTTTTGGCAATGGCTTAGGGTCCAGCTCTGACAGTGGAAAAATAGCAGCGATAAGGCCCGTACACAGGCCAATTTAACGGGACGCAACCTTGTCTCCGAGCGGGGCCGACACTGTCGGAGTGTGTGAACGTGGCCTACGGGGACCTGTCCCGCGATGAGACGCCGGTGATATCTGACTCGAGCCCTGACCCCGCAGCAGTGGGTGTCAGCGTATTGAATCATAGCCTGAACAACAGAGGGGGGAAAATGGAAAGGGTCAGGGCACCGAGCCGTAAACGGAAGGGGACAGAGTACGATTGTACGTCTTTTTTTCTGTCCATGTATAAAAGAATGCAGCCAGTGGATGGTGGGCATTGTACACGACGCCCAGGCCTCATCTGACACCGAAGCCAACAGCTGCATGGCGGGCGGGGGGGAGCACAACAGCTGCATTCATGACAGATGCACAAACACGTCTGTACATACTGGACAGTGGAGCTGTTGTGGCTCGGGAGATTAGAGGGATGCCATGCAAGTTCTGGGAGTCAGAGTGTGGGAGAAGCCCAAGGGATCAGTTGGTCTTCGAGCGTGAACAATGGCTGGGGCTGTTTTTGCGAGAGGTGGCGCACTCTCTTGTTCCGCAACAGCCGTGGGATGGCGATGGGGATGGGCGGGTGTGGAGAAATTAGGTGACATGAGGTCATATAGGGACCTCAAAGGAAGCTTTTAATTTGCATGCGATAGGAGGAAGGCGTGTCCCCCCCCAAAGAAACTATCATAGATATATGCTAAGCCTACAAATCACCAATCCATCGAACGAAGCATTCTTCTTCAAAAAAAAAAAAACGATCCATCGAATGAAGCATTCTTCGAAAAAAAAACAACCATTTCGTCATCCACCCTTCAACACCAAATGTCCGACATGCCATCCACCCTGTAAACCAAAAAATATCCGCTCATCCAGCAAAAGAAGCGATTCGTCAGACCAACAGACCTTTTCACCCACCGAATTTTTAAATGTAGTCATCCATTGAACAGTCAACCCTCCATCGATCATCCATCCAACCAACCAACCTGTCATTTAGCCTCTCAAATCCATCCCTCCATCCATCCATAGGCCATCAAATCCTTACATCCATCAAAGCTACTCATCTGTCATTCATCCAACCCATCAACTAAACCAACCTTTCCTCCATCTAGTCTTTCAAATGCCAGATTCATTCAGCAAAACAACCACATTTTCATCCCCCCTCAAATCAAACAAAGTCATCTCTTCCTCAAACCTCAATTCACCCATCCCGCATCATCTGTTGTTCTCGCAACTGGAGATAACTTTTCCGCACCGTAAACTCGACCAAACGCTCTGACCTTGTTTATCAGATTCGGTTCTGTGCTCTGGCAGCCACACGGGACGCTCTATCATAGATATATGCTAAGCCTACAAATCACCAATCCATCGAACGAAGCATTCTTCTTCAAAAAAAAAAAAACAACCATTTAGTCATCCACCCTTCAACACCAAACGTCCGACATGCCATCCACCCTGTAGACCAAAAAATATCCGCTCATCCAGCAAAAGAAGCAATTCGTCAGACCAACAGACCTTTTCACCCATTGAATTTTTAAATGTAGTCATCCACTGAACAGTCAACCCTCCATCGATCATCCATCCAACGAACCAACCTGTCATTTAGCCTCTCAAATCCATCCCTCCATCCATCCATAGGCCATCAAATCCTTACATCCATCAAAGCTACTCATCTGTCATTCATCCAACCCATCAACTAAACCAACCTTTCCTCCATCTAGTCTTTCAAATGCCAGATTCATTCAGCAAAACAACCACATTTTCATCCCCCCTCAAATCAAACAAAGTCATCTCTTCCTCAAACCTCAATTCACCCATCCCGCATCATCTGTTGTTCTCGCAACTGGAGATAACTTTTCCGCACCGTAAACTCGACCAAACGCTCTGACCTTGTTTATCAGATTCGGTTCTGTGCTCTGGCAGCCACACGGGACGCTCGATTTGACAGCTAATTTACTGAGAGGATTTGCATAAGGCCTTGCGCTAATAAGGCGGGCTCTTCCCCCCCGTCCCTCACCCCCTTTGTCTTTCACAGCTATCTTTGTAGGCTCCTTCCTTTCCTTTCAACAACAGATTAGATACGCGAATTAGGGAGACAACAGATTGAAATTGTATATCGATTAAGGGAATAAAGCCTTGTGTCTTCTCCCGCTAACGCTGCGTTTAAATGATTGATTCACAATGTCACACTTCACATCTGACTGACTGTGCGCCGAGCTGCGTTTGGTGTCGTCGCTGCCTCTGAGGGTTTTTTTTTTTTTTTCCCGCTGCTAAATACGAACATCACCGCCACACAATGAGACCTGCCGATCTGATGACAATCTCTCTGTGAACTCGTGCCGGCCAGGTGGAGGCATTCGGAGAGGACAAATCCTCGACAAACAATGCAGTTGGACTCCTTACAGAGGAGATAAAACTCTGATCCTTATCAGTGAGTGGACAAAAAAAAAGTCTCCCTGCATCATCGTCTCAGTCAACCAAAAGGAATTACCAGAACTGAGCAGTTGTGTGCGAGACATCCGATTTATCATTGTCATGTTTTTCCACTGCTCTTTAATTCCGGCATAAGAGCAGCATGAACATTGTCATATTTTTCCCACTGCTCTTTAATTCCGGCATAAGAGCAGCACGAGCAGAAGTTGTTTACAGTGAACCCCGTCCATTGCAGTGTGTGTGTGTGTGTGTGTGTGTGTGTGTGTGTGTGTGTGTGTGTGTGTGGCACTCAATCAACAACTGAAAAGTGCATATGTAATTGTGGTTCAACTTTACCATGTGCTAGGAAGTAATTATGCTGTAGAAAAAAAAAAGAAGCACGATAAATTGTGAAAAATGTGAACAAAAGTGTGTGTGTGTGTGTGTGTGTGTGTG